TCTTTTGGAGTGATGGGAATAGTCTCTCCGTTGGCTGTGACGGTGGTGACAGAGGCGCCTGGTGGAATAGTGGTTACGCTTTGGGTTGCTAACTGAAGGTCAGCAGTTCCAAACTACCAGCTCCTCCGAGAGAGAACGCTGAAGCTTTCTACTCCTGTAAAGTCTCAGAAACCCACAGGGGCAGTTCTACCTTGTTCTAGTCGGAATCAACTTGATGGCAGGGAGTTGGGGTTTTGAGTTGGTGCTGACCAGCTATAAACATTTTCAGAGTGCTCTGAGCTGCCTACTTACAAAGGATGTAAGTTCTATTTCCCTTAACCTAACTTCGAACAGAAACACACAGATCACTTGTACAGTCTTTTGGCCAAGAATAATATATAACCCCAATTGCCTCGTGAGGAAGATCAGACAAGCACAGACTCAGGAGCATTCTGTGCAATAATGTCAGTGCTTTGATACACAAGACAGACCCAGCAACTGCTCAGGACAAAACACCATGCACGGCCCTAGGCTGGAAAGAAGTTCTACCAAGGGCCTAACTGGGACAAGTGACACCATTGGAATATGGACTACAGATTACCAATGTCCAATTTTCTGAGTTTGATCATTTTACCTGTGGTTGCATACACAGTCTTTGTTCTTGGGAAATACACACAGCAGTCAGAAAGTGGCACCCTGCTGAGGACAGACTCTGGAGCCGAGACAGGGATGAAGCCCTGAAACCATTGCTCTGTGATCATCGTAAAACCTTAAATCAAAAACAGGCCTTGAAATCTTCTTCAAGACAAACAACTCTTTAGCCCGACAAGGAAAGAATGCCTGCCTTGCACATTGGGTTCTTTTTAGACCTTTCTCTATGGGGATGAGATAGGGATCAAGGGGGCCGGGAGTTTGTGCGCACGACAGAGCAAGAGCTAAGAAGGAGGGTGAGAAAGCATGCCCAACTCAAAGAATGCAGTCAATATCAGTGAATTGTCTGTGCACGGCAAACGGATGAATTGGTGTACAGTTTGCTGCGCATAGTCTCAACATCAACAAAATAATTGAAACGTTTCAAATATGTATTTAAGAAACCATTAAAAAAATAAAAAATTAAAAAAAGAAACAAACCATTGAAAGGCACCATGTCTGCAACCAAGTCTTAAATGGTCTAGATTTTAAAAGAAACAGGTGTGTGTGTATGTAATGAATGTATATATGTGTGTGTAAATTTTAAAGAGAATGCGAAAACAAACAGGGCAAATTGATCGCAGTGGTTTGTACTGGCAGCTTGCTGGAGCTGGAACTACATTTCCCAGAATCATCTTCCCTGTATGTCCCAGGTTAAGAGTTGATGCAGAAGTCATTGTAAGGGATTGGAACTCCAGAACCACAAACCACAAACCCCCTGCCATCAAGCTGATGCCAATTTTCAGAGACCCTATACGGCAGAGTAGAACTGGTCCCTCGGGTTTGAGACTTTATGGGTGCAGCCAGCTTCTCTCTCCAGAGGAGTGGATGGTGGGCTTGATGTCCAGCGATGCCACCAGAGCACCTTGATTGGAACGCTTTTAAAACCCAAACCACTGCCACCAAGTTGATTCCAACTCACAGGGGCTCCAGAGGACAGAGCTGAACTGCCTCTATGGGTTTCCTAGATTGGGCATGATAGCTTCATCTTTCGCCTGAGGGGTGACTGGTGGATTCAAACTTTTTGCCTTGTGATTAGCAGCCCAACGAGTAACCTATTATGCCACGATCTAAAAACCAAACTCCGACCGAGGACACACATCACTTTTGGGGTGCTCTTTTTTTAAATTTTAAATCATTTTATTAGGGGCTCATACAACTCTTATCACAATCCATACATACATCAATTATGTAAAGCACATTTGTACATTCATTGCCCTCATCATTCTCAAAACATTTCCTCTCCACTTAAGCCCCCGGCATTAGGTCCTCATTTTTCCCCTCCCTCATGAGCCCTTGATAATTTATAAATTATTATTTTGTCATATCTTGCCCTGTCCGACGTCTCCCTTCACCCACTTTTCGGTTGTCTGTCCCCCAGGGAGGAGGTCAAATATAGTTCCTTGTAATCAGTTCCCTCTTTCCAACCCACTCTCCCTCTACCCTCCCAGTATCGCCACTCACACCACTGGTCCTGAAGGGATCATCCGCCCTGGATTCCCTGTGTTTCCAATTCCTACCTGTACCAGTGTACATCCTCTGGTCTAGCCAGACTTGCAAGGTAGAATTCGAATCATGATAGTGAGGGCGGGGAGGAAGCATTTAGGAACTAGAGGAAAGTTGTATTTTTCATCTTTGCTACATCGCACCCTGACTGGCTCATCTCCTCCCGAGACCCCTCTGCAAGGGGATCTCCAGTGGTCTACAAATGGGCTTTGGGTCTCCACTCCGCACTCCCCCCATCATTCTCTATGGCAAGATTTTTTTGTTCTGATAACGCCTTATACCTGATCCCTTCGACACCTCGTAATCACATAGGCTGGTGTGCTTCTTCCATGTGGGCTTTGTTACTTCTGAGCTTGATGGCCGCTTGTTTACCTTCAAGTCTTCAAGACCCCAGATGCTGTACTTTTTGATAGCCGGACACCATCAGCTTTCTTCGCCACATTTGCTTATGCACTTGGGGTGCTCATGTCAAACATAAACACGAGGAAATGTCAAATGCACCCTGATGTACAAAAGAGGTGGCCAATACTCTTCTAAATTATTGAGGGGCTAAGGGACAGAAATGCTAACGAACTGCTCTGAGAATATAGAGACAAGCTAATTAAACATAAGGTGCCATCCTGGACTGGCTCCTAACCTAGACAAATGGGTAACAGACAAAATGGCTATCTGGGACATTATCGGGACAATGGCAATATCTGACCAAGGACTGTAGATGATAGTATTCGGTCTGGGTTTCTTTCCTTATTTCTTCTTTTAACTTTTCATCGTGAATCAACATTTCGCACACATTCGGATTTGGTTCATCCACTGCGACCCCCTCAATGTACTATCGCCCATCCCCATTCCTCCTTGTGCCTCCTGTTTCCATTCCTCCTCCTTTCCTCCCCATCCGTCTCTAGCCGACCAGAAAGCCCAAGCTTTGGATGATGATTTTGAGATTTGTTTTCTCCCAACTCATCCCAGGACCTCCGAATGCAATCCTTTTCAGAGCGGCTGGTAGTGGTAGCCAGGAACCATCTAGTTCTTTGGGGCTCAGGGTTGTGGAGACTGGTGCTTGCCTGACCCATTAGTCCACCGGACTATTTTGTTTCCATGTGTCTTTCGATGTTTGCCCCTCTTTTTCCTTCTGTGGCAGACCAAGAGTTGCACCTGAGATGGCTGCTCACCAGTTTTGAAGACCGCAGTCACTACTCACCAGAGGAGGATGGAGAACATTGTCTTTGTGAACTGTGTTCTGCCCATTGACCTTGGTGTCCCCTGAGCCTCTGGTCCCGATCTCCCTAACCCAGCAACTCTCTTCCCTCAAGGTTATGGCTAAGAAAGTTTCATAACTTTGTCCCTGTATGCGCCATTACATCCATGGATATTTGCAGCAAAGGGAAACACACACATGCAAATATCCTGTCAAGCCTGTACATACGTTCATGAGTACAGTGCTGCCCTTCCCCACCTGTTCAGTGTCTAGCCTGATGGTGATGTTGCATCATCATGAAACCCAAAAACCGGGAAAGTAATCATCCAGGTCATCAGTTAAGAACGTCCATCAGTGGATATTCTAAGTACCCCCTGAAAAGCTTGCTGGAGACTAGTCATGCACTTGCCAAGAGGTTCCCCCAAGATGAGCTATGGATTACAGAAGGGAAAAGATAGCGTTTCAACCGAGGAATTTGGCAGACAACTCCTCAGTGATCACATTCAGGGTAACCAAGGAAAAATGGAGCCAAGTAACATCATGTGCCTCCCAGTGTGATTCATGAAGATCACATCACCGCCTGGGCTAAACAGATTGGCAAAAAAAAAAAAAAGGTTTAAACCAAATCAAACCTTGAAGAAAGAAATCAGATGAATCTTAATGACGTTTGGCAAAACCACTGGCTTGGACGCTTCAAAATTGCCAGGGCCAAGGAAGATGAAAGAAACAGAAGAGCCTGAGAGAGTGTTGCAGAGGGAAGATGAATCGAAAGTATCGTGGTTGTAGAGGCTGTCTCGTGCCCTCCAGCAGATTGCCAGGCCTTTCTTAGGTGGTACCCCTCAGGAGGTTCAAATTGACGGTTTTTCGGTGACTAGCCCAGGGACCTTTCATCTAGAGATGAGAGTTAAACATAAACTATCACTGGATCCTGGCTCTCCCCGGCTTTAACAAAAAAGGGGGAAAAACCATGAAGGTATGAAAGTAAATGTAAACTATTAGATAATATAAGCACCGTGTTGTTGTTGTTGCCGGGTGCCATGGAGTCGGTCCCAACCCAAAGCTACCCATGCACAACAGAAGGGAACAAGGCCCGGTCCCGCGCCATCCTCCCAAGTGCCTCCCAATTGCACTGTACTTAATGTTCGTTATCTGAGTGGACTATTGCATTGCAGCGAAGTAGGAGACGACGGTCCTTGTTAAGTGACAGATGCTGAACTCTTAGCGTCGTGTCACTAGCGAGAGGTGAAAAACAGAGGTAGGTCTGCAAGTAATGACGAAGGTGATTTTTATAAAGGTCTCAAATGCCGTACCTGGCTGCGGGGTTTTGTATCATCACCCAGGCAACAGCACTGAGACCAGACCAACAAACCGAGTTTCCCACGGCAGGGAAAGCAGGCAGCTGGGTGACCCCCCAGAGCGCCCCAGACCTTCAAGGACTCTGCCAGGAGCGCTTTACCACAGTGCCACAAAGGCGTGGGGTCACGGCCCCCCAACACCCCTCCGCACGACAGCGCCACGTGGTGGCCTGCGCACTTCCCGGGGTTGCGTCAGGGGCGGTTGTGATGTCACGTCCTCGAACCCACGGCACCGTGGGCTGCTTGCCCATTGCGTTTCACACGGCTCAGCGATCATGGCGGCTGTGGCAGCACTGCTGCAGAGGGCCAAGGCCTACGTCAAGACCAAGGAGTTTCGGGACTATATAACCAGCACTCACTTCTGGGGTCCGATGGCCAACTGGGGCCTGCCCCTGGCCGCGTTCAAGGACATGAAGTCGTCCCCGGAAATAATCAGCGGCCGCATGACGGCAGCGCTCATTTTCTACTCGCTGGCCTTCATGCGCTTCGCTTACCGGGTCCAGCCTCAGAACTTGCTGCTGATGGCGTGCCACGGCACCAACGTGGTGGCGCAGAGTACTCAGGCCACTCGCTACCTTCTTTACCACTATGGCGGGATCGAGTTGACTGCCCATGCTAGCAGCCCTGCAGCGGCCACAGCCCCGGCCTCGAAGCAATTTTCTAAATGACCGAGGGCGTTGGATCAAAGCTTTGCAGCTTGCCAACACTGGATTTCTCCAACAGCGAAGACCGACTTAAAGCTTTGGCTGTGACTCTACAACAGTGTGCATCTGCAACCTGCGATTTGGTTCATTAAAAAGAAAATTGCACTGACGGCAGCTGTTGAGTCTTGTTAGTATTTGGTGGCCAGGAGAGGACGTGTTTTGAGGTGAGGGTAGGCGGGCATCCTTTCCATGGGATCTGCAACTTAAAGGCAGACTGGCTGTTTCAGTGGGAAAAGCACTTTGTATTCTTTTAAAGCTCTCTTGAGTACATGATATGGTTATTGGTTTTGGTGTCCAGGGCGGGCAAAGGGTACTTTGGGTTAACATGGCTTAAAACATGGTACAGCCAGATAGGAACTGAAAATACAGGGAATCCAGGACGGATGAGCCCTACAGGACCAGTGGTGTGAGTGGCGAAACAGGAAGGGTAAAGGGAGAATGGGTAGGAAAGAGGGAACCGATTACATGGAACTGTGTGTGACCTCCTCCCTGGGGGACAGACAACCGAAAAGTGGATGAAGGGAGACGTCGGACAAAATACCCATTTATAAACTATCAAGGGCTCATGCGGGAGGGGGGAGCGAGGAGGGAGGGGAAAAATAAGGACCTAATGTCGGGGGTTTAAATGGAGAGAAAATGTTTTGAGAAACGATGTACAAATGCGCTTTACACAATTGATGTGTGTATGGATTGGGATAACAGTTGTATGAGCCCCTAATAAAATGTTAAAAAAAAAAAATAGCTCCACCTTCAGATAAAAAAACAACAACAAAAAAAACATGGTACAGCCCCAAATCTCTCAGACACCACCACTGCCACCACCAAGAAGTGCCGGGGATGATTTCTACTGGGGAAAAGACGTCGAAATGTTTCGCTGATTCACTAAGATCCAGGTTAAGAGTATTAAGGGTACCTAGAACGTCTTTCTGACTGAGAACAATTACGACATCTCCCTGGGAAACAAGATACATGGCTAGGGACAGTCGTCACTCTTGGTTTCTAGGTAAATAGAAAACCAAAATGATAAAAGTCCTAATTGTTTATCTTCAGTAAAATGGCTGAATTCTCATCCTGTGTTGGACACTACCTGGGGCCCATCAGATCCTCCTACAAACCTGGTGGGTGCTGCTGTGAGAGGGCTGCCTCTGTCTCTGGGGAGTACAGGTTCAGAGTGGTGTACTGGAGAACCTCAATGCTGTCTCCTTGGCCCCCTACTCATGACCCCACACACAATGGAGCAAAATCCTGCCCTGTCCCAGGCTGACCCAGCTGATCAGTTTGGACCTTTGTGATCCCCAGGGTTTTTAGTGGCTGAGTTGTAAAAGTTGATCACTAGAAAGGGAAAGGCCTTTCATTGTAGTTCATCTTGGTTTGACAGCTTGCTTGACATCTTCAGTTGACAGTTCCATTGAAACCTGTTCAGCACTCTATCGAATCTTACCAACACACAAGCCTCCACGGACAGATGGGTTGTGGCTGTACATGAGGTGCATGGGGCTGGGATCGAACCTTGGTGTCAGGCACGGTAAGTGAGGTCACTACCATTGACCTCCTATGTCCCCTCATGTCTCCCCACTGCCATTGTATTAACTCCGACATGCGGGTGACTCGACATAGGGTTTGAGGCTTTATCAATCTTTACAGGAGCAGGCAGACTCTCCTGAGTGGCTGGTGGGTTTGAATCAGTCCCCTTGCGGTTAGCATCCTAATGCTTATCTGACAGCACCACCAGGGATCCTTCACTGATGTGTTCAGTGTTTAAACTCTGCCTTTGATAAAGATTTCAACTGCCGAGGAACTGAAAGCAACTATCTGAAAGGTTCTAAAGACGTCAGCTCTTGGGTAAGACAAGCAGGACACTAGTGGGACTCTGGTAGATGCTCCTTTAGCTTTGGTGGCATCTAAGCAGGTGTCCTCTTTGCAGGGAGCCTCCGCATAAAACAAAATCAACCCCCATCGCCATCAAGTCAATTCCAATTCGCCGGTATCCTATAGGACAGAGTAGAACAGCTGCTTAGAGTTTCCGAGGCTGTCCATCTTTACAGGAGCAGACAAGTCTCACTTCTCCTGTGGAGGGGCTCGTGGTTTGAACCAGACCCCTTTGGTTAGCAGTCCAACACTTAACCCACTGTGCCACCGGAGCTCCTTATACTCTGCATAGGTGGGGGGAATGGCAACTATTGCTATGTAACAAGTCCCCCTACAACCTGCAGCTTCAAATAATAAATAGTTATTTATCTCACACAATTTCTGAAGGACAAGAATTGGGAGTGATTAAGCTGGGTGCTTAAGTCTCAGGGCCTCTCCGCCATCCGCTAGGGCTGGAAGATGGGCTCCCCAGTTCGCTCCTCCATGATCTATGGGAGTCCCCATAGGGCTCCTCACCACATGGAGGCCCCTGGGACACAACCTGCCCAGGAAGCAGGCCCGAGATAGGAACCATGGGCTTTCAGAACCTCATCACAGAAGTGACATACCACCACTTCGGCTGTTCTAATGCTCATGCAGAGCAAGCACGGTACACTGTGGGGAGGTAATACAAGGACGGGAATTCCAGGACGCAAGGACCGTTGGGCGCCATCTTGGAGGCTGGCTTATTTCACTCTGAAATAAGAATTTCTGGGTGTTTCTGAAATATAGTAGAAAGGAAGCATGTAAGGTCACTGTCCACCTTCCCAAAGTTTGCCACCAAATGCTCCATTTATAGCCTGGCACTCATTATGCATTCCCTGCCATCAAGTTGACTGACTCCTAGTGACCCTATAGGCTAGGGTAGGACCGCCCCTGTGGGTTTCTGAGACTGTGACTTCCCAGGAGCGGGACGGCCTCGTCCTTCTCCCATGGTCATTACTAATGAGTGCCTGTCACTACTGAGCACGGGGTTTCCGAAGCAGGCCTCTGGACGATAGGGAGACTCTAGTAATATTTTAGATTCATTCCAGTGGCAGTACAGTAATGAAAACCGGCTTTTAAAGTTCAGAAATGAATAAATGAAGTCAGTAGTTTAAACCCACCAGCTGCTCCACGGGAGAAAGAGCAGGCTGTCTGCTCCTGTGGAGATGTACTGTCCCGGAAACCCTACAGAAAGCGCTTCCACTCTGCCCTGCACGGACGCTAGGAGTTGAAGCCAACTTGATGGCAGCCAAGTTGCTTTGGTGGCTCATCCTGAAGTTTCATGTGTAATATCTTCCTTCTAAGGTCCTCCGAGTTTCCTGGTAAAGAACAGGCTAGCATACACAGAACTGCCCATCTTTGCAACTATGATGCTAAAATCATTTTTCTCCCAAGTCCTTCAAAATTCTTAACCACATCAAGTGGGTCCCAGGGAATGGCTGAGACCAAATCGTCTTTCCTAGATGAAGATAGGGCCGTCCAAGATGAAACAAAGACAGCCTTGCGTGGAAGGGAGCCCACTTGCCAGGCTGCTCGCGCTTCTCATGTGCCAGGAGCTGGCGCTGACCCCCACCAGCGTGGAGGCTACCACACAGTCCAGGCACGGTGATACACAAGTTGTGCATGGTTACATTTGACTGTACAGGTCTCGATTGATTTTGAAATATGAAAACTTTTAATTAAAAAAAACACCTCCAAATACACAAGTGCATGTTTGTTATAAAAAAATTCACAGAGGCGTATACAAGTTCCTGGAGAAAAGCCCGCTCCTTCTAATCACCCTCCCTGGCCCCGTGCTATTTCCTTGCCTAGAGGTGACAGAGAAAACAAGCTTGGGAGAAGCACGCAACTTCCCTGATCTCAGTGATTGAAAATGACAAATGGTAGGACCTAGTACTCGGCCCAGTGAAGCATTTTGTTTTTCTCTTTCCCGGGTCTGACACACAAGGAGCCTTGGTGGCGTAGCGGTTGTGCATTGGGCTGTGATCTGCAAGGCCAGCAGTTCGAAACCATCAGCTGGAGAGAGAGAGGAGAGAGGAGGGGGAGGTTCTACTACCATTAATAGTTAGTTTGGGAAACTCACGGGCCAGTTCTACCTTGTCCCATAGGGTCACTCTGAGTTGGCACTGACTCAAGGCAGTGAGCAACAGGTCTGACAGACAGATCATTCCAGCCTATCGTGTTCAGTGCTGCTACATTCTTCCTCAACAGCTACCTACTCTTCTGTGGTCTGGATGGGCTGTGGCTGCCACAGAGATGTCTAGAAGTTTGTGGGAAAAGCAAATGAAAAGATCATAGGGGTTTCCAAACTTCTTGAAGCCTCCTCGTATTCCACCAGCCTCCCTGATGGCTCCCTCACCACACTGCCCTCGCATGGGCCCCTCTTCCACAGAACTGTGCACATGGATGCCACAGAAAGGGAGGACTGGACAAGAGGCTGCTCTGTGTCCACAGCACGGGCCATACGGTCTGTGCTAGAGTGAATGATACACCCAAGAAAGGGCAAATCTTTTGTTACCTATCAATCTTATCAACCAAACCCCACACCGACTGCAAAGTCGATTCGAACTCAAAGCAACCCTACAGGGCAGAGCAGGCCCTCCAAATAGGGTTTACCAAGGCCTCAAGACGCCTGTGGGCGGTCGCTGAGGGGCTCTGCTCAAGGACCCTGCCATTCACAGCCACGCACGTAGCCTCGCTGCCACCTAGACTCCGCGTGTAAATGCAGCCCAATGGACAAGAATCAAGTTCCCTTTAAATAGGGGGGGAAATGTCCAAATAGTCACAAGTTTGGGGCGTAAGCATATCCAGTATTTTGTTTTGTTTTATGAGTCTCGGTTATATAACTTCAAGATTGTGAATATTAGAAAACAAACAAACTTCCAAAGGGCCAAAATCCAGGGACAGACTGCAACCTTCTTGGGACGTTCTTTCTCTGGCAGACGCAAGGGTGGCGGAGACAGAAGCAGCGCTGGCTGTCACAGAACAGGTCTGATCTGTATCAATGGGCAACCTGAAATGAAAAAGATTTAAACAAAATTTTTTTTAGGGAAAACAGTAAAAGGTTTCCTTATGAAAATTACCCAGTTGCTGGTACTGCCATGGCCAACCAAATCAAACCCACTGCTGTCAAGTTGATTCTGAGTCCAGGCGACCCTCCAGTGCAGAGCAGCATGGCTTCACAGCACTTCCAAGGTTGTCTATCTAAAACGGAAGTGCAGAGTGGACCTTTTCCCCAGAGTAGGCTGATGATGGGTGTGAACCGCGGACTTTTCAGCTAGAAGCAGAGTGCTTAACCACTGTGCCACTGGGGGTCCTTCACAGCTAAGCACCCAGTGTCAGTGACCCGTTTGGGCTGAAACGTCTTTGCCAATGCTATAAAGCTGATTCACTTCAGGTGGGATCAATAGCTTCAGGCGGATTCGCCTAAACAAAGCTGACAGGGCATTTGTTAGGTTGAATTACTCCACAGATGGAAGAACCAGTCCCTGGAAACAGCACGTGGTGCAGTGTCCTTTCTTTCAAATCACAAGGGCATGGAGAACTTGGGATGAGACGAGAGTTGTGTGTGTGTATAAGCCAACAGACAGCCCAGGGAGAAAAAGATTCTGTTCTGGTTAAAATCAGATGCCTGAACTTACCCCAGGCGCTCACTTCAGGTATCTCCCCCTGACGACCCGGAGTTCAGTTTGTGAGGCTGGACGTGGAAGCTATCTAGCCTCTGCATCTCATCTGTAAGCCCGTTTCTAAGGTCCTCGTTGTCTCTCAGAAATTCCCTCACCAACTCCAGTCTTCTTGCAGTCTGCAATAAGGAAAGTACACAATGTACAGCTGGGGTCAGGTCATTCATGAGCAGGTGTGTGAGCCAATGAAAAACCTCCTAACTCCAAAACTAGTTCCCGCTCCTGGGTCCACGGAGGGAGACACAAACACTGGCTACTGGCCGCTCTGACCACAGACAAGTTAAGGGTTCAAAACCCTTTAAAACAAAGTGCCCTCCCCTGGAAACAGTCCCAGTTCCAGGACCACACATTGGGGCATTTGCTTGTCTTCGTAAATTCAGAGTGTGCACGTGGCCACTGCAAACATCCTATACATGTGTGAAAGGACTTCGATTTATTCATTTGTAAATTTTTCTCTGCACCCACAAGATATAAAAAAAGGTAAACTATGTACCCAGTACAGAATGTTAAAAGCACACTACGGTACAAGATGAACAAGGTGGTTGTCTTCCCAACCATGTCTTCAGTACCCTAGCTCCTCTCCCAGGGGGCCACCTCGAAGAACACTGTCAGGCGTTTCTCCTGGGAGTCTGTGCACGCATTTACCTGTGCGTACCTGTGGACACATTTTAAAAAACACAACTGGCGACACTGCTGTCCCACTTGCTTAGATCCTAACAATCTGTTCTACAACCTGAAGAGTGGCCTCGTTATTATTTTTTTAATAGCTGAACAGTCTTTCGGTTGTAGATGTTCTACATTTTAACTTGTTATTCCCAACCTCCTGCTGAGACAGAAAAGGCCACCATGAAACTGAGCTGGCCCGTGTGGTATTTTGCACAAGGGTCCAGTCCACCTATAACATCTGGTATTAAGAAGGGAATGCAGTTTTAGTCCTGCCAGACTTTCAGGTCTCAGCAGTGCTATGGATCGCACTGGGCTCCGAGATGGAAGTCCTGGCCCCTGTACCTGGAATGAGGCTTGCTTTCTGATCTTCTTTTGTCCTGGTCACTCTGCCACATCTGAGCAGGGAGGGGCCTGAACCTGGTGACTTCCTCACAAAGACCAAACCAATTTCACTGCCATTAAGTGACATCAATTCATAACGACTCTGTAGCGACCCTACAAGAACAGGGTAGAACTGCCCCTTTCAGTTTCTGAGACTGTAACTGTTTACAGGAACAAAAAGCCCGTCTTTCTCCCATGGAGAAGCTGGTGGTTTTAAACTGCCAACCTTGTGGATCACAGCCCTATGACTTACCACTATGCCACCAGGGCTCTGCTGGTCACTTCCTAGAAGTGTCTTATGAAAAGAGCAGACCAGACATAAACACACACAGGGGGATGTCAAAAGCTGATGTAGCTCCAAGTCCAGAAAAGCCAAGGTTTGCTGGCAGCTACTAAATGTGGGCACAGACAAAGGACGGATATCCTTGTGTACTGTCGGCTCCTACCCCTTCCCTACGACCCTCTAGACTTGGCCAGTACTGGAGCAGAGGCACTACAGCCACAAAAGTGACTGCCAGTGAGCTCCACACACAGCTTCATCTACTGGCACCTGCATGGTTCTCCCAGGGCTGCCCTCCACCAACCCCTTGCATGCCCGGCTGCCTGGACCAACCACCTCTTGCTCTAGTCCACCCAGTTTCTTGTCCTTTGCTTCAGGCCCAGTCCAGAAACCTCTCTTCCCTTTCCTACCCGACAGCTCCTCTCTCATCTTCTCCCGGAGTGGCTTCTAGGGACAGCTTGGAATTTGAACTGTGCTTAAGTGGTGCTCACAGCTGGGGAACGACTGCAGTTTGCCGAGACAGTGGTGCCAACGGAGGCTTTTCTTTTTCTCCTCCATTATTAAGGGTGGCGAAGGGCGTGTGCAAGTAAAGGGGAAGGAAGGAGTCGGGAGGGAAACACGAAAGGCCTTAGCTAAGCGGCTCACAGTTAAGTAGCTGAGTAACCTTGGGCAAGCAAGACATTTCAACTCTATGCCAGCTAAAGGTGGTGCTACTGACCCCACTGAGGAGTCTGAGGATTCGAAATAATCTACCCAAAGCGCTTAGCATGGTGGCTGGCACATTCCTGTCCCCTTTCCCTCATTTCAAGAGCAAAGAGTCCTGGAGAATCTACCACAAACCAGGCACGGTTCTGGCCAAAGGGGCTTTGGCAATGTCATTCTTCCCTTAAGTCAGGTTCTCAACCTGGGAGTCGTGACCCCTTTGGGGGTCGAATGACCCTTTCATAGGAGTCGCCTGATTCATAACAGTAGCAAAATGACAGTTATGAAGTAGCAACGAAAATAACTTTATGGTTGGGGGGGGGCTCACTACCACATGAGAAACTATATGAAAGGGTCGTGGCATGAGGCAGGTTGAGAACCACTGTCTTAAGTGATGCCTCCCTTTCTTTCACATGCCACACCCATCTACCTTCTCACCATCTCTATCTCTGTCTGGCCTCACTCCAAACCTCCCCTGGAGCCCCCTTGTCATCATCTCGACCTGGGCTACCGTAGCAGCCTCCCTGTTCTCTCTCCGCACAGCCGCAGCCTCCCCTTTGGTCATTCATTCCTTGGCTCCTGTGTCCAGGGCCACACCCAGTGGGATGCCCACCTTTAACTTCTCAGAGAGATATGCCAACGAATCCAACCTGACACTGGATCCACTGAGCTATTAAGAGAAATGCCAAGGCCTACTGAAAGCATGAAGTTTTTTCATGAAGGCATGAAAAAACGATAATTTACCACCTCCATTCAGAGACCTGATGACTTAGAGGACAAGCCAATGAGACCGCATTTCCTCTTTGTAAACTAGACACAAGTAAAGAACTGCGGTCCCCGCCAGCGAGAGAGAAGTGAGAGGCAGGGAGTCTGACCTCTTAAGTTGTCTTCTCTTGCTCTCCTCTATTCTCAGAGGCAACAGGAAGAAAACTCGGCTGGCTCTAATGCCGGTTTCCAATAGATCAAGACAGAACACACTCAACTCACTGCCATCGAGCCGATGCCGACTCATAGCGACCCTACAGGACAGGGTAGAACTGCCCCTCTAAAAGAGCCTCCTTCCAACTGCTATAACGATGAACTTTCTACAAGCTGGGTCGGATCAGCTCACTCTGCAACACCGCCTCCCGCCCCATGGCTCCTGTTTTTTTTTGTTTTTTTTTTAATAAAACACCCTTGGCATGGCATAGAAAACCTTTACAAACATGGCTACCTCAACACCTGCACATCTGACTGTAGTGAAGTGAAATTTCTTAATATGGCTCTTCTATCCGTGTGTCTGTAATTCCCACCAGATGATTGGATGGGATTATGCACACAGGGATGTGTAACACTTATAGAGGGGATTGGCCAGTTTTAGTTGCCACTCCCTTGGCTATAAGGATGAACCATCTCTGAAGCAGGAAAAGGGAGGATTCCAGGGACCTTAAAGGAAGAGGAGCCACCAGTAGAGCACTTTTGAAATCGGCGTGAAGTGGTGGAGGCTGAGATCAGATGCACCAGAGGCTGTGAGACAGAGCAAAAGAGATAGGACAAGACCAGAGGCCAAGGCAACGAGACCCTGAGACAGAACAGAGCTATGGCACTGAGACTATGAGACTGTGAGAGAGCAGCAGGCTGGCTTCCTGGCCCACAGAGGTAGAGGCCAAGGGACCACATGGCTGAGAGGCTGAGGAACAGAGAGAGAGAGAGAGAGAGAGAGACTTGGCTGCCAGCAGTGTTGACTGGTTGCTAACCCTGGCTTGTTAACTTCCCTTACTCAACCCCCGCGATTGTGAGTGCTGTCTCAGAGTTGTGTGTGGCCACAGCCCCAGATTCTCAAACCCAGGAGAAAAGTAGAATGTCATGGGAGGAATGGTTGGTGTCCGAATAGAGTAAAGAAGGATGGAGGGTGGACGCTTGTCTGACCCCTGCCTGTGGCAACAGGCCTTGGGCTTGCAAGGAGCTGGATTCTCCTTCTCCTTTGGGTGGCCAGAGGTGAGACATGGCCCCCTGGCCATTTTCTCACTGATCTTAGTTTGCCTGTCACTCCCCAGGCCCTTCTGAAGCACCCTTCTTCTGTTGCCAAACTCTTATTTGATTTTACAAGTCCCTGTCCAGCAAGCCCCTCCCTCTCGGCAGATCCTTTTCTGCAACCCCCTTAGCCTGCGCTTTTGCTCGGAACGGAGTCAGCCCTCACCACGGCTCCTGTTCGCATGCAAGCATTTTTGGAGCCTGTTTGTGAAACTGTAATATGACTCTATGTGTAAAGAACAGTCACTTCTGGAAATTATTTAACTTGTGGATCAGAAAGATTCACTGGCTATTCTTCAAAACAAACCACTCTCCCTCCTGCCTAGAGTCGCTAATCTTCGCTAATCTATTTTTTTAATTTCTTCTTCTTTTTTTTTTTTTACCTCTTCAGGCAACACTTCTTGCTCTTCTGCTTGAAGATACATCTCGTGAAGTTTCTCCTTTAGTAATTCCATTTCAATTTCATTTACTTGGCTCTCACTCAGATAAACTCCTGCTCCGCATGCAGACCCATCTCGCTGATCTTCCTCAGGGATGTGAACCGCCCAGTCAGATGTCAGCAGCTGCCAGAGTATCAAATGTATGGACCCACTTAGTGGAAATGCGATTCCAGGCCTTACTCAAAGAGTTTACAATGAAGCACCCTTAAGTGGATCCTCTAACACCATCCTGTGATCTCTTCTCAGCAAAGCAAATCTTCAGATTGCCCATCAGTAAGGTGGCAACTCTTTCTCCTACTTGCCACTGCATCCAGTCAATTTCAACTCACAGCAACGCTAAATTGGGTTTCTGAGACTGTAAATCTTTCCAGGAGCAGTCTCATCTTTCTCCTGAGGAGTGGCTAGTGAGCTTGAACCACTAACCTCCAAGTTAGCAGCCTAATGCCTAACCTATAACTCTGCTAAAAATGAAAACAAACTCACTGCCAATTCTGACTCATAGTGATCCTATAGGACAAAATAGAACTGCCCCTGTGGGTTTCCAAGACTGTAACTCTTTATAAGAGTAGAAAGCCTTGTCTTTCTCTGCAGAGTGGCTGGTGGTTTTGAACTGCTGACCTTGTAGGTAGCAACCCAACGTGTAACCAGTCCATGACCAGGGTTCCTTAAATAAGATATTACTTGTACTCAATCTATGGTTTCAATGCAAGCCAAATCAAAATCTCAGAAGGGACATATGTGTAGACCTTGATAAGCTGATTTCAAAATTAGTATGAAAATGCAAAAGGATCTAAAGAAACAAAAAAAATGTATTAATAAAAATAATTCTAAAAAATATATAAAATCTTGAAGAAGAGAAAAAATCTGAAGATTTACGCTAACAATTTTCAAGGTTTATCATATGAACCCACTGCCACTGAATGGATTCCAACTCACAGTGACGCTATTTATATAGGGCTTTCCGGCCTGTAAATCTTTACAGGAACAGACAGCCCATTTTTCTCCTGTGGAGCAAATGGTGTGGAACTGCCCACCTTACAGTGAGGAGCCCAGAACCGAGCCCACACTCACACCCTAAACTTTAATTTAGACCCAAGACATTTCAAATTCAGTTCTAGAGGCCACAGTGGTTCAACACAACTTGTACCTCTTCTATTCTGGCGTAGACCTCCACAATCTCTGGGATATTCTTGAATTCATTCAAGAAATTTTGGATCTTCATCTGAAACTCTTGCAGCCACACAGAAGACACTTTCATCTCTGAAGAATGCATGATCTCATTCCGACACTTAATCACCTGCAGAACGGCACAAAGGATAAAGGGCTTTAACGGCAAACCTTAACCATGGCACAGAAGGAGACCCTGTGGTTCCAAAGAGACATTTCCGAAAGGTTTGGCTAACTACAAAATCCACAAGGGTGGTCCCCAGAGGAAGACAGCCAGGACTGTCCTGGGAGGTCAAGCAGCATCCATATTTAACGGCAGCCTGCCCTGAGAGCATGCATGCCTCTCCCACAAAGACAGTAACGGGGTGGGGGGGCTGGGCAAGCGGAAGAGCGGAGGCCCTATCTAAAGGGGCAGCTGCTACTCGCTCAGAGCTTGTTGCCATGGATGCTTTGAGCCCTGTGTTGCCAGGCCTTGATTTTCCAAGAGTAGCTGGAAATCCAGATGGTTTATGACAACTAAGTTAAGACTTCCTTATTCTTCTTTAGTCCCTGGGAAAGGATATGACAGTTGGTAAAGCAGAGGGGCAGTGAAAAAGAGGAAGCCCCTCAACAAGATGGATTGCCACAGTGGCTGCCACAGTGGGCGGGGACAGGGTTAACAGTGTTTCCTTCTGTTGTACCCAGGGTCACCAAGAGTTAGAGCTGACTTGAAGGCGCCTAACAAGACGAATGAGTCAAAATTTAGGGAGCGGCGGGGAAATGAAGACAAAGTAAGATTTTTCATTTGATCTTGTGAGCCAGATTTTAGCTATGGGATTCCAGGAATAAAAAGGTCAATGGGCAAGAGACACCCCATTCCCCACCTTCCTCAGCCTCTGGCACAGACTCACAGCAATCCATATGCCCAAGATGATCACCTGGCTGCCATTAGGAGCTGTTAAGGCGAGTGGGTGCTCAAACTCCTGCCACGTGGACAGTTTAATCAAGGCTAGAAACACAACACCTGTAGTTATTTGCCGTTCTTGAAACCTTCTGACCTGCTAGCTATGGCTTACACGTGGTCATCCCTTAGTCCAGTGGTTCTCAACCTTCCTAATGACGTGACCCTTTCATACAGTTCCTCATGTGGTAGTGACCACCCCCAACCAGAACATTATTGTCATTTCTACTTCGTAACTGTCATTTTGCTACTGTTATGAATCGAGGCAACTCCTGTGAAAGGGTCGTTCGACCCCCCCCAAAGGGGTCATGACCCTCAGGTTGGGAACCACTGCCTTAGTCTAAAATGACTTGTCCAAAACCCCAAAATTATTGGCTCTCATTATACCCACAAGCTGAAGCAACAATGCAAAAAACACTGTCTCCAGGAAGTTGGGCCAGGAGAACTTTGGGATACAGAAACTATGAATAAAAGAAAACCAAGTTTTGCCAAAATGTAAAACACATGGTACCATCTAATCACGTTAGCGAATAGGTTCCGACTCATAGCAACCCTATGTACAACGGAACGAAAACTGCCGGGTCCTGCGCCTGCCTCACAATTGTTCCCGTGCTAAATCCACTGTTGCAGCACTGGTGTGAGTCCAGCTCGTTGAGGGCCTTCCTCATGGATCAGAGTAGAACTGTACCCTGTAGGGTTTTAAATGGCTATGGTCTTTTGGAAGCAGATTGCCAGGCCATTCTTCCAAGGCACTTCAGGGTGGCCTGGAAGCAGCAGCCTTTCGAGGTTAGCGGCCCAGAGACCGGCAGCACTTACCTCTGTGACTTTCTTTCGATTCACTGTGAAGTGGTCACAGGAGTTGATCAGATTTAAAAGGGCCACGGCATCACAGTCCTCTGGTCCTCGTTTGTCGGCCAGTCCTCGGGGCATGAAGGCCTGGAGTGTGGGCAAGCAAGCACACTGTGGGGCTCCTGAGTCTCTGCCAACTGCAGGAGCTGACGGGCAAGTATTTGCTGCAGAATTCTCAAGCAATGACTGAGAGTCTCTTGTGAGCAGGCGTTTCAAAAGTTACAGTCTCGTGCGTCTGACCCACTAAGTGGAGGGTCACAGCGAAGTGCCAGCCAAAGGGGACAACCAAAGGGCTGTTCTAGCTGTCCCTCCTTATGAGAGACGCTTGATGAAAGGCCTCCCACAACTGATTTGCTGCCCTGTCTTACTGGCATGTAAGCAGCAAGCCTGGGGGAACCCAGGGCCATCGAGTCCACTCTGACTCACCGAGGCCCTGCATCTAGTTTCGGAGGCTTTTTGTGTAAATCCCCACGGGGGCAGTCTCATGTTGCCTGCCATTTTCTCACCACACACACCCATCTCAGACACATTCAAGTGTGATTCTACAGAAATAGAAGCCAACAGGGGGCGGGGGGTGTTTGGTGAGCCTTGGCAGTAAAAACATTTTCTTAGAATTGGATCTCGCACCACTGTGTCTCATGTTCACACACCTTACTGCCTCCCATCACGTGCGAAGCCAAACCCTGACTCACAGCCACTTAGAGGAGAGGAGAACTGCCCCATGGCGCTACTCAGGCTGCCATCTTCACAGATGCCAACTGCCGCACCCTTCTCTGCCCAGTAGCCAGTGGGCTCCACCTATGGGCCTTTTGCTTGGCAGTCAAGTGCTTTAAGCACTGTGGTGCCAGGGTTCCCGCACCACACACTACTCACTGCATCTTCATTGAAATGAGGTTGGAGAAATAAGGCAGGGCGCGAAGTTATTCCAAGGATATCAGAAAGCCGCCAAGAGATTTCATGCGAGAGGATAATAAAGCGATCTCCTCCCATGTCTGGATCCCATGGGCGGGCAAGCGATGAGGGGGGCCCAGCACAGCAGCAGGCAGCCAGGAGGGACAGGGACCCAGGGCCGTAGAGGGCGCAGGCACAGATGAGGGCAGGAGATGCAGCAAGAACGAGTCTATGCAGTTGGTGGTGGGGAGTGGGGAGGCTTGTGGGTGGGGAGAGGGAGAGACCGACAGGTCCAGCTTTAAAAATAAACTGGAGATAAGGAAGTGGAGGGGTTGGGGTGGTGGTGGTGAGAGAGAGTCCTACTTTAGAAATAAACAGGAGATAAAGAAGTGAAGGTGTTGTGTGCATGTGTGAGACAACTACTTTTGAAATAAACAGGAGGTGAGTATCGTATGACACACACCCCCACACACGCACAGGCGCATGCGCGTGCGCGCGCCCTGCCACAGAAATAAAAGGGAGGGCAGGAAGTGAAGGTGTCAAGTAAGCAGCTGGAGGGGAGAGAAGTCAGAGCTAGGACTTAAAGAAGCCTCCTCCGGCTGGACGAGGCGGGTGTTCAGAGGGAGGGGGCTGCACCAGAAGAAGACAGAGGAAAACCAGGAGAGACTGGCAACGTCAGGAGTGTTTCCAAAGGAAAAGTGTGCGGAGTATTTCACCGGAGAGACACGAGGCCAGAGAACTGCAGGTCACCATGACCCTGACAGGGGCAGACTGGGGGGGGATAGGGGACAGCAGGAACAAATGGGAGCAGAGGAGGGATGGGTCAACATTGCCCACCGCCGTTGCTGGAGTTTTGTGTTTTGGCTCCACAAGGTTTCCCAGACTATGGCCTGTGTAGTGGCTGGTGGATTTAAACCGCCGACCCTATGGTTAGCAGTGCAACACCGACTGTGCTTCCAGAGCTCCTTTAGGGATAGGCCAAGGGAGGCTTTTCTTTCCAACTACTAACCCCAGTGTTGCCATCTAACTTAAGTGCGAAATAGTTCACTTATCAATCTACCCACTGTAAGCTGCAGGGGCAGTGAATTATTTAATGTGGCTCTTGTAGCCACAGTCTCCAACTCACACCAAATGACCTTTCCCTGCATGGCTCCGGAAAGAAGGTGGGCAAAGATACTGAAAGGATTCACCTGTGAACAGAATTCTCTGGAGCACCATGCTGCTGGGTATAAAGTGAGCCCTCTGAAAAGCAGCAGGAGGGATCTCATTATCAGCAAGAGCCAAGAGTGGGGCATGTCCTCTGGATCCAAGATTCCTGCAGTGAACCCCCCTGGATCCATGTGGGGTGAAGTCAGATACTTGTTGCCAGACTGCTGTCTCATCCCACAGCAGAGCTGGGCCTGCTCCCTGCTGCTGGAGACAATGGACTACTTCTCTCTGAAGCTTGGGACCATTAGCTTGGTTCCTGTAGGAGGGGTTTGCACCCTACTGATAAGGATTCCTATGGAGACCCAGAGACCACCCCCTAGACCACCCTCTCATTGCTGTGTAGCCTATAGTGCAACCCCTCCCTGTGACGTATGTCTCTACCTGTAATTAGTGGGCTGGCATGCTCCCAAAAGGTATATAGGCATGGGTCAGCAAGATAGAGAGACTGACTTCTCTCTCTGACTCTGAACTCCTTGCTGCTCACTCCCTGGTCACTCCCCTCTCCCTTGTTCCCTTCCCCTCCTTCCCTTCCCCCTCTCTCCACGTGGACCACCAAGCTGGGCTGAGGTGAGCAATGGTACTATGTAACATGCCTGACTGTATTATTGTATTATCTCTCATGCTCTCGATGACTTTAATATAATGCTTATATATCTCAACCGTACAATTGTGCATTACTGAATCCGAGTAGAAGTAGTACTAATAGGAGTATCAGCAGGTGGGGGCTGGCCCCTCCCCCTCCCTCAGCGTCGATATTTTTTTAATTTAATACTACAGATCCAGATGACAGTTATAACATCAGAGGAGCGGTAGCAGAACCAGGAGCCAGAGCATGGAGCAGAGTGATGGATTTTCTCCACCCATGGAGCAAGTTAAGTGGTTTTGAGCAGGAGGCTGGCTGGGGGAGTGACCCACAGAAGTGGAGCACAGTGCCTTCAGGCTGAGGCTTTACTGGCGTGGGGTGCCCCCTGGGCGCTAATTCCGGGAGCTGAGTTTGCTGACCCACAGAGTGTGTGCCGAATGTCTTTGGGTTGAGGCTTACTGCGCTGTGGTATGCCCCTTTGGATATTTATTAGCAGACCTGAAACTGTGACATGTCCTGATCAACTACCCCAAGCATGTCTCCCTGGAATTACAACTTGTTAACTTCCTTAATAAGCCCTTTCAGCATGACTTTTGTCTGTTTCTGTGTAGTCATCACAATGGACACTGGAAACTCGAAAGGTGAAATAATGGACACTCAGAGCAAGAGCAAACCATTTGTATATTCAGAGTGCATAACTAGCCATCACCTAAAAACAACCCCCTAAACCTTGTTTATAGGTCACACCCTCTTCCCACCCACCCAAATCAGACAATCACTTTGTCTGATGGACTTTGTCGCCCACATAGATAGAATCAAGTAAGATGCACCCTTTTGTGCCTGGCTTCCTTCACTCCCTAGAACACAAGAGCTCATCTCCACTGTGGTCAATCTCAGTATTTCCTTTTTCTGGCCGAATAGCCCAAGGGGCCTTCAAAGAGTTCGTGGAAAAAATTAAATGGATAGAAGGTTTCCACAAACTGTTGCAAGCTCCCTTGTACTTCAGTGGTGGGTGGTCCACATTTGCACTGGGGGTGCTTTCTCCTTTGGAGCTATTATGAATAGTGCTGGGATAACCATGTGTGTACACAATTTCCTATGGATATATAATTTCTCTTGTGTAAAGACCTAGAAAAGGCATCCTGGTAGTATTGTGGTTGTGTTGGGCTGCTAAAAGCAATAGTTCAAACCTACCAGCTGCTCCACGGGATAAAGATGAGGTTTTCTACTCCTGTAAAGAATTACAGTCTGGGGAAACTATGAGTTGGAATTGACTTGATGGCAATGAATTTGGTTTGGTTTATAGACCTAGGAGTGCAATTACTGAGTAACTCTTACATGTAATCCCTACTTAAAAAAATTAAATTATATTAAAACGATGGGGATAAACCAGGAGGGAGGAAGAGTGGGTAACTGGATACTCAAAGTCCTCAGGCAACCAGAGGAGAGCCCAGTATACAGGGAGGAGGGCTGGGAGAGTGGGTGCAAAGATGTGAAAGTGTGTGGTGGAGGCACCCATCAACTCCATGAAACATGTGCAAGGCCGCCCGCTGGGAGCAAGGATGACAGAGTGTTGGGTATTGGGGAGGGGGCGGGGTAGGAACAGAGCCTATTAGAGGCACAAGGCCTGGACTGGTGGGGCTCCTGCCTGATTGGGGACAGAAAGCAAAAGAGTCAGTCCCCTGGCGAGAGGCTTCCCCATAGCAGCAGCACCAGATGAGGATGCCATCAGGGCAGGAGCAGGACTGTGGTGACTGTGAGGGGCTGACTTACACGATGGCCCGTGGAACCTGGGCCAGCTAAAGGGTCAAGGGGGGAGGGCAGAGGCCATGCCACCAAGAGGTGACCAGAGTACGAGGGCAAAGGGCGTTTGAATCAATGTGTCGGATGAAAGCCTTCCTGTGACAGGGTCCAAGGCATGAGCATGCAAGGAGGCTGAGGTGGAGCGACCCGGAGGATGCTAGAACAAGGAGCCCAGAAGTGAAAAGGCTGGGGATGGAGAAGGACTATAAAGGTCTTGGAGAATGAGGAGGGGGGACAGGTGGCTCCAGCAGGTGGCACAGACTTCAAGAGCATTCCGAGGGTGTGAAGGCAGCAAATAGCAGACAGGAAGGATGGATACAGAAAAGAGAAAAAAAAAGTTAAGAAATGCATACTTCCACTTCTTAACATCCCCACCCCCTTTTCTTCGTAGAAAAAGAAATATGGCAACCCCGTGTGCAAGCACGCACTTGAGGCCTGGTGGGGTGGGGGTGGTTTACAGATCTCAGTATCCAGCTATCTAGGGGGCATGGAAGAGCCCTGGTGGCACAGGGGTTATGTGTAAGGCTGCTACTGCCAGGTCAGTAGTTCAAAATCACTAGTCGATCCTTGGGAGAAAGATGAGACTTTCTACTCCCTTAAACAGTTATAGTCTCTATGAGGAAACAGAGGCAGGCCCACTATCACACACATCAGCTGGGCTGGAACTCTGGTGGTTGGCTTCCCAGGCTCTGGCTGAGCCCATGTCTACTGCTCACCCATACAGACCAACTTGTGGCCAAAACCACTCTGGCAGCCCCCCCACCCTTTGCCCAACATAAAAAAGCCCCCAAACTTCGGCTCAGTTTAGTAAATCACAGGTGAACACGGGCTCCTAGCTGGCTGCCTAGCCCATCTCTGCCTCCCTAAAGTCTTATTCCATAGTTGGGCACCCGAGGTCCTTCTTTCAGTCCTAGCTTCCCTGGTCTTCCTCTGCCACCCTAGTAGTGCCCTATTTGCTAGCCAAAACGAGTGTCTGCTGCGGTTTCTCCCCTCGGCCTGTGGCCCCGCAGCATCTCTTGCGGAAATTCTTCCTATACCTTTCCAGGCAGGGGTAGCAGGCTCAAATGCCTGCAGGATAACATAACAGGCCAAATTCAACAGAACAGCTCCCAACCACCTGGACACTTGAAAACACGGTAAAACCCTGTAGGTCAAATAAAACGTGCAATTCCCCTAGGCCTCCTCTTTGTGAAGTCCGGGCTTCCGCACCACCTCACCGCCGTCCTCCGGCATCTGGTTCCCGCCACTGCCTCCTCCTCACGCCGCCACAAGTGCTTTACCTTGGCCACCTCCCAGGGGTCGACGGGCCAGCGGCCGGGCTGGCAGTTCCCCCAGTGGACGTCTCCATTTCTGTTTGTGTGATGGCTCAAGATCTCCCGTTTCCACTCGGCACACACCTGACACTGAGGCTGAAACTAGAGGTCGGTGGTGAGTAGGGGCAACAATTGAAGACCCGCCCTGCAAGGGAACCGGAAGCTGCGCTCCGGGCGAGGAAGGCTGCCCCGGGAGGTGACTCACCTGGCGGGCGCGCGGGCTGCACCGCGAGCCGCCGCGACAGGCGGCGCGGGGACCCAGGCCAGGGACGGCGGCGAGCAGGTTTCGGTGAAAGGCGATCACCTCGCGGCCGACGAAGCCTTGCAAGCAGGCTCGCAGCAGCAGGAGACAGTGGCCCGCCTTCACCCAATTTTTGTATTCAGCACAGTTGAGGCGCGCTGCCAACTCGGACAGCACCATGACCCGCTCGCGCCCGGAAGTCGCGGGCCGGGCGGGAGCCAGTGCGCAGGCGCAAGGGCCTGGGAGCGGCGTTTCTGCGGCGGCGCGGCCCCGCCCAGAGGCCGTCCCCGCAGGTGACCACGTGAGCGCCAGTGGCGCGGGGAAAGCAGAGGCTCCGCGGACGTCTGGCCCAGGGCAGGGCAGAGCCCTGTCGCTTTGCAGGCACGTTGGCCCTTCCCTGATCTGAGCAGCACCAGAGGTCCAGAGGTCCTCAAACGTTTTAAACAGGGGGCCAGTTCAGTCCCTCAGACCCGTTGGAGGGCCGGACTATAGTTTTAAAAAATACTATGAAAAAAAATAAAAAATACTATGAACAAATTCCTATGCACACTGCACATATCTTATTTTGAAGTTTGAGGACGCCTGGTAGCCTATACCTGAAACTTTCACTTTTTTGTTGTTGTTATGGGTTAGATTTTTTTTAATCGTTTTATTAGGGGCCCACACAACCCCCACCACAATCCATACACACATCAACTGTGCAAAGCACATCCGTACATTCCTTACCCTCATCATTCTCAAAACATTCCCTCTCCACCCAAGCCCCTGGCCTCAGGTCCCCACCTTTCCCCTCCCTCCCCGCCCCACCATGATAACCCCCAAATTATCTTGTCATCTTTCCCCATCCGATGTCTCCCCTCTGCCGTCCGTCCCCCAGGGCGGGGGGGTCACATACAGTTCCCTACAATAGGTTCCCCCTTTCCAACCCACCCTTCCCAGCACCGCCACTCACACCACTGGCCCCTAAGTGATCATCCGCCCTGGATTCCCCGCGCCTCCAGTTCCTATCTGTACCAGTGTACATCCTCTGGTCAAGCCAGACTTGCAAGGTAGAATTCGGATCATGATAGTGGGGGCCGGGAGGAAGCATTCTGGAACCAGAGTAAAGTTGTTTTTCATCGTTGCTCCATCGCACCCGACTGGCTCTCCTCCCTGAGACCCCTCTGCAAGGGGATCTCCAGTGGTCTACAAATGGGCTTTGGGTCTCCACTCCGCACTCCCCCCATCACTCATCATGGCAACATTTTTTCGTTCTGATGCCCTACACCTCAGGATCGCACAGGTTGGTGTGCTTCTTCCATGTGAGCTTTGTTGCTTCTGAGCTTGATGGCCGCTAGATTACCTTCAAGCCTTTAAGACCCCAGACGCTATACCTCTTGATAGCCGGGCACCATCAGCTTTCTTTGCCACATGTGCTTATGCACCCATTTGTCTTCAGCGATCCCTTCGACGCCTCTTTTCTACCCTGCCTTTCTTACCCCTTCCCCACGTCCCACCCTCTCACCCCATTTCAACACCGCTTCTCATGTTCAGGCACCCATTTTATTCCAGGGACATAGACGTTAAAGGCCTATATGTTGAACTAGTTTCTTGAATATCACATTCTAGAAACTTTAGTTACGTGGTTCCTTAAGTCCAGATTCGTTGTATAACACTGGGAATCAGTGACATGCCCACAGGCTGCCTGTACCATGTACCTATTATGTAGGTGTGGTGTACCAAGCTGACGAAGCTCAAAAACCGTCCTTGGGAAGTTACCTAGCTGAGGTAACTGGACAACACATCACCCCGTGGCTGGAGAGCCATGGATCAGATGAGGGCTTCTTTCACTATGATCTTGAAGCATTGAGCAAAGGTTAGACAGTTATTTTATGCTCGTGTTATTAGTGCTTCGCTGCCTCTTGAGCTTGGACAAAGTGTTAGCATGTAGTAGAGTCCAAAGGGAAGAGTACAGAAGGCCTGCTACCCACCCCCACCTCCGATTATTTGGTCCTCGCACGGCCGAACAGTTCTGGACTTGAAGCTTCTTTTTGGTTGCTCCTAAATCTGTTGAAGACTTCTTTTTCTTAGCTTTGCTTGACTTTAAGCATTTCCCTTCCAACATTTCTCTGGGCCTCCATTTTACTCGTGTAAAGGGAGGACACTAATACCTAGCTCTCATAGAGTTGTGAAGTTGAAGTAAACATACTTAAAAGCACTTAGAGTTGTGCTTGGCTTGGTAAGCTATTATTATTGGTGTTAGCTATTGTTTTATGATGACCTAAATATAAACAGGAGCCTCAGTGGCTTAGTAGTTACGCATTGGGCTGTTAACTGCAAGGTCAACAGTTCGAAACCACCAACAGCTCCATGGGGGAAAGATGGGGCTTCCTACTCCTATGAAGAGTTAGTTTCAGAAACTCACAGGGCAGTTCTGCCCTGTCCTATAGGGTTGCTATGAGTCGATCGAATGGACTCGATGGCAGGGAGCTTTGTTTGTTTTGGGTAAATAAAAGCAATCAGTCATATTCTAGGGCAAGGTATTTTAACCAATTGCTGGCTATTTGGAGTTGGGGCAATTTATAGAAAACTGTGAGCAAGCACTGCACGTAGTTCACTCAGTTTTGAAACCATAAGGTTGAGCCACTATCAATAACCTTCGATTGATATGTCCAGTTGAAGTTAGAACCGTGTTCCTCTCTGCTAAGTCTGAAGTATTTCTCTATCATCTGAAATCACATGTATGCAGACGGAGGAGAAAAGGTGGCAAAATCAGGCCCAATTTCTTGTTCCAAGGTTAAACTAGTACTGAACCAGACTACTAGTCAAAGCATCTTCCTAAAGATTAACTAAAGAGAGTTGGTAGTTCTCTGAAACTTGGGGAAATTTAAAAAAAAATTACTGACAGTACTAAAATCACATGGAAAATACCTCAAAGACCCAAATCACCTATTAGAAAAAAAAATCACTGAGCACCCAATCCCTTTGGTTGAATCTGGGTAACAAAAGAGGCAAACGGCATGATTTTGTGATGAAATCTAAGATCGAAATGCTAAATGTTGTCAAGCTTTAATAAGGTACATACCAATTCCAAGTACTAAGCATGACAGCAAAATTCAAATTCATGGGTTTACTTTTAATTAGCATCGAGAGCAAATTCTGTTCACTGAATCCTATCTTACTTTTGATTTTACAATGCATTCAGCTGAGTTTTATAATTAAGAGAGAAGTTGTCCATAGAATGCATGTTCTAAAAATTGCAATGAACATTTCCAAACCACACCAAAAAGGGGAAATAGCTGAAAAGTTAACTCTATTAATAGAATTATGTGAAACAATATTATCCTGCAGATAAAAATACACTTCTTGTATATACATGTAGATATACATGTAGATTTCTACATGAAAGAGAGGATTCAACACCAAATAGAAAAAGGGCTGATCCTTGATAAAAGACATCTTAGATTGCCAAACCGATGTTTATACCATTGTAAGGAGAGCTGAAAATAGAAGGCTATGAGGTCAGTTGAAGGAAGGAGGAAAGTCTTGCCATCTGCTCTCCACAGTGACAGAGTTGGGTGAGAAACAGCAGACAAAGGCAGAAATAAGACACAGAAGAAAGGCAAAGAAGGCCTGAACTCTGGCCGAAAATGGAGAGCCAAGCAAAGTTCAGAACAGACATGACGTAGCTGCAGTGAGATGCTCAATACTAGAATGTGGTGGTTGGTAGTTACAGAAGCTCAATTAAAGTAGATTTAGACAAAATATCTGACATTTCATGGAGCCAGTGTTATAGCAACCAGATAGATAGATAACTCAGCACGATATTAACCATTTTCAAACTTTCCCAATAATGTCAAATCCCCAGAAAACCTTTGCTTCAGATCATGTTATCTGAAGCTTACAAAGTCCCTAACCGAGGGGGAGAGAGAACACAGCGCTCCAAATTAACACACTGATGAGCTAGGGCAGTGCCAGAAATGCCACTGGAGACATGCACAGCCTCGGCCCTGGCTCTTGGGAGTCTCTTTTGCAAGCAAAGCATTCTCTTTTGGGCTGACAAAGAATTGAACTGGGATTGTTTACAACAACTCCAATTTTGGTGAGCGGGGAGAAGTTTAGCAAGAAAAGGAAACATTACAGAAATTTCATGCAAGGGCAGAAGCATTAATGCTATAGGCAGAATTATTTTGTAGACAGAACTGGCCTCATCACAGAAAAGATTCCACATCTCCAACCGATGAGAATGATGACAATATGTAGGATTCTTGGTCAATGGGAGTCATTTACTGTCTCTTTGCCAAGCCTAGAGGCTCTCCTTCCCCCACAAATCCTACACTAAAAAAACCGCCAAGGTGCTAAATGTCAACCAGCAGTCAGGTTAGGAGTGTGGAAGAAAAGAAATTACCTTGAAATAAAGAAGATGTTTTTTGGTCAAATTTCAGACTTGTGTAGTTAGAAATGAATTATTGGCCTCACCGGGTTAAAGATGAAGGGAGGCTCGGAAAAGTTTAGGGAGCTTATACATACACACGTGAGTATTCTTGGTTTTTGTCATTGCCGTTGGTGTTTGTTTTTTAAACCTACATTTTATTAAATATTGCTTCTTTGGGATCTGTTTATAACAACTCCCAAACATTTTCATGTAAGGATTCAAAGCGGTAATATTAAAATACAGCTTCAATATAAAGTTTATCACAGTTTTACAGTATTCAAAAGTGGCAGACCTGCCTTCAAAACAAAACAAAACAAGAAAACAAAAACAAAAGGACTATTACACCCAAAACATAAGAAAACAATTAAATAAACAAGTTTGGCATTTCATAATGTTATAGTAGAAAACAATATTAAATCTATCACTGGCAAGTGGATACGGATGTATTACCTACTTGGAAATGTGTTCCATTTAAACACACTGTACAAGTGAACTATACAAAAGATTGATGATCTTTTTGATGAAAGAAGTGCACCCTGAAAAATTTTTTTGCCAGTTTAGAATTTTTAGCTCTTAAAAGTCAAAAAGTCCTTTGTCTTTTTTAATATGAAGGCTGAATTCAAATTTATTTATTGATTGATTTTGTTGTTTTTGTCTCATTTGTCAGCCTTCCTGGTTTAAAAGCAATAGTGTTTATGGACGCCCACCAGGGGGCAGTGTAAGATTAGCCATTAAATCGCGAACTGCTGCAAATATTGTGCATTCACCTGCAACAGAGAAAAATGGTCATTAGCTATTCGCAATACAGGAAAGATGATGTTAACACACTGGTGGGGGGAGGGGTAATTAAGATCCAACTAAAAGACAAATTTTAATTGCCCAAATTAGGGTGGACTCAGCTTCGGTGTTAGGGATCAGATGGTATTTGGTTTGGGTTTCGGTTTGTCATCAGGAAATCTTGGCAGTTCCCAGGTTTTCTGAGGAGGGAGATTTGCCTATAGCTTCTTTCTAGAAAAACAACACTGCATATGGCCTTGGATGGTAGGGTGGGCTCTAAGGCTACCGACACCTTGCTCTCGTAATTTGAAAGTAACAGAAAGCTCTGGTTTCTATTTGTACATTAGTTACAGCTTCAGTGAGACGTGTCTTTTGATGTCCGTTAGAGGCCAAATGACAATGTCAGTGACAGCCCAGCCCAACTGATGATGGTAATATCTACACTGATGCTATGGCGCCTGAGTACTTGTAATTTAGCTAGTGTGACTCAGGAGAGGAACTTTACATTTTAGTTCAGTATAATTAATTAATTTATAGGCGGCTGGCGGCTCTCATATTGGACAGCACAGATCTGTCACATCTGTGGGAATTTTCTCCCCAGTTCCAAGGCAACAGTCAACTTCTGGCATTCAGCATTAAAGTTAATTAAATGAAAAATAAATAAATAATGATTTTCTTAAAAGCACTTCATGGGGAGGGAGAGGTGATAGGTTTGGGAGGAGAGGAAGGAGGGTGAAGTATGGCACACCAACAAGCCAAATACAAGATTTGGTGGGTGAGGGGTGGCCGATGATTCAGCCCCCCAGTCTCCCCTTTAATTCAAGACACCGAATGCCCTGCCTCTCACATCTTTTAAGTATCACAAACATTTCAATGAGAAACAAACCTACTGGATCCCTTCACTAGAGTGTGGGGAGCACCACAGTGCTGAAAGCGAGAGATGACCGGAAGACCACATGTGAACAATGGCCTTCCGGGCAAAGGCCAGGATGTGCAGTGACACTGTGTGCAAGTTACTGCCACCTCCTCGCCGTTCACAGGAAAATCACAGCACAGAAAGAAAAGGAAACCCAGAGATTGGCCCAGCTTAAGGTAAAAAGCAAAGGAAAAAAAAGAGAAAACCACTTCTCAAACAGTCCCACACTTTTTAAAGTCAACGGAGAAATTCTTTCTTTCAAAAACATGTATTTTAATTGCTGCGGGGTAGAAGTGCTTGCTTGATCCCAGTAGGATCAAGATATTATTTTCCTTTCCTTTCATTTGACTTCTCCCAAGACATCATTGTGGGAGTCATCTGCTTGTGAAAGGAATAAGGTAAGGTGTTTATTATCCAAGTTCTACTGGAGGATCTAGTTGTAGCTGGAAGAGGTAAGTCAAAGGATAAAAGCAGAAAATTGTAAGGAGTAGAAGGATCACAACAGAAGAAGCATTCCCTTCTCTACTGCCCAGTGTCGTCTTTGTAGACTATGTCTAGGGGAAACGCGCCCGTGTGTATAATATGGGGCAACCGCTTAAACAAGGACATGGCCCGATCCCTGCGCTTGGAGTAGAATTTTGACATTGGGATAATTAGAAATGTTTCAGAGAACAACTTTCCCTCATTTCAAAATATAATATTTGTCAAACTACTGAGCCGAAAATTACATAGCTTTCTTAATTAATACTGGACGTAAAAAGCACAATTCCAGATAATGTTCTCACAATTCCAGTAATGTTCTCAATAGGAGCAATAGGTAAAATGGACGAGAAGGGCTCTCTGCTGCTCTTTCTGTTATGCAACCAAAGTTGAGTACTGCCAGAGTTATGTGGTAAGCACACGCTACTTCATCGGTATTGAAGGGACCTTGTCGGGTTTTCCAGATACGCTCTGGGTGCTTCTAAAATGTCCAGCTTGGGACCTTTCCTTGTGCACTTGGTGAAAGGTGTCTTTGGCACCCGCCTGACACTTATATTAAGAAGCCCAAAAAGCAATGATGCCATTTGTACCAGCTTTTATTCTTCACAAAACAGTTAGAAGATACAGAACTTTTTATGCGAGTATTCTCTTCATGACTGAACCATGAAAATATGAGAAATTAACATGCATTTCAACTTCGTGATGTACAGAGTGGCAGGTTATCGATAGGAGGGTGGGAAGTCACAGTCATGGAAAAGTTTTATCATCCTAATCTAGGGCTTCATGGCAACGGGCGCTAGAAATACAAGCTTCTGGCATTAGCAACTGGGTCAGTCCCGAGAGTAGATCACTAACAAAAAGCAAAATCCAGGCAGCAGAGAAATGGACAAAACTGAAGAGCGAGCGAGAAAGGAAGAGAGCGACAGGCAGACATTTAAGAGGGGTCACAGCAACCAGAGTTCTAGTCCTAAGAGTGCGGAGGAAGGAGGGAGAAAGGGGGTGGAGCGGGGGTGGGGGGGGTGTATCTCTCAAAAGAACTTTGATAACATATATGCAATAGAATAGCGTCTACCGGTCATGTACCTTGTCGAGGTGGATTCATCTCTGCAAATCTCTTTAGAATGCTGCTGACCATCATGGGAGCAGCAACAGAAGAGTTCTGCTGTCTGGGGATGTCTGCCTGCTGGGTGGTACCAGAAGCCATGTCATAAATGATGGGAACTATAATGCTAACAGGCTCTTGGGGAGGCCCCGATGTTTTCTGGGTCAGCTGAAGCTGTGGGCATACAGTACAGACGAAAGAGAACAACACAGTTAGGAAAAGAAAACATCTGCGAAACATCTTAAAACCCACTCTCCTTTACCGTCCCTTCAGGTTAAGATACAAGAGGCAAAAGAAAAGGAAACGAGTAAGGAGAGTGGGAGGCTACCACGTTACTACTATGGTTCAAATGCAATGGTGTTACACACAATTAGCTAGTTTAAGACATTTCCTGTCACCAAAGGAGCCAGGATTAACTGAAATTGAAACTAACACTGAAAGGAAGCCAGGCCTGCCTTTGGCAGGGGGCGAGAATGGATGCAGTTATTCAAAAGTTGCTCTACCAGCCTCGCAAGACTTGCACACCCTGGGTGGTACTTACAAAAAACAGCATTTTGGACTTCAGCACCACAGCAGGAGTCCCCGGAGGAGCTATGGGAGGGGCGCTGGGTGGGATCGTCAGGCAAAATTGAACGTTCCACTTGAGCTGCGTTGCTTGATCAGGGAACTGTTTTAAGAGAGAGAAACATCATAAAAAAGTCCAAGCAACTTTTAAAATTATGGTGTCAGATTCTGAGAGGTTAGAATCTCATTCCATACCTAATTAACACAACACAAAATAGTTCACTGAGACTCCCCACCCCCACCCCAGACCCACAAGCACTGTATACACGAAGTGAAAGGTCAACTCTGGATTAAGCTAACATGTTCCCCAGGCCAATGGATTTTGCTTCCAGTGTTACCAACTGCCTCTCAATTTTCGCAGATGCCACAGGCGCTCAGGGCTTCATCACTTCTCCTGGTAGCCTCTAATGGCTCCCTTACCCATCCAGCTTTATACCACCGCCAGACACTTATCTTAGACCCTAGCTCTGTTAGCTCACAATGTTCAGTGACGTTCTGTGACATGTGCTGCCCCCTCCCCCACTGAAGGACCAACCCCTCTACCTGCCATTCAAGGCCTTTTTTAACTGGTGTCAATTTAATTTAGGCTTCCAGTCCCTCTTCCAACTTCCTCCCCAAACAAACGAGCCACTGTGTTCATGACTTAAACTAACGAGCCTTGTAGAACCACAAAAAATATTAATTCCTTCGCAAACTGGAATCTGTTTCTCTGGATAATCTGTTTCTCTATCAGAGCAGAAGCCACGTGCTGTGACCCCTGAGTTTTAGTGGACCACATGGGAGCTCTGTATAAACAACTCTGGCAGTGAGACCTGGCCACATCCTGACCAAAGAGAGGTAAGTGGAAGTATGGCATGGAACTTCCCGTACAGGAGAAGGACTGTGTCTTCCTTCATTCCTTCCTAGTCTCTAGACTGCTGACCGGAGTTGCTTCAATTCAGCTGGCTGAATTTGAGATGACAAGTAATTACATGGTAGGGGAACAAGCTAGAGAGAGCTTAGATCCTTTAATACTGTGGCTCAACAGAAGGGCCCTGGATCCTCTACCCTGGGGCTTTGACATTGAGAGAGAAATAAATTCTTTTTCTTTTTTTTTCTTTGAGGCCCCGGCCCCTGAGAACTAAATTCTTAGCTTGGTTAAGTCATGGGTATTCAGGGGGTGCTGTCACTTAAAAGGAACCCTAATGCTAACAAGACCAGCGAAACAGTACACATTTAGGCAGGAAAAAATAAATAAAAGTTTATACACAGTTAATAGAAAAACATTTTTTTTTCAACTAGGGAGAGGACACTTCCTTGCTGTGATGGTATCAACCCCACACCTAGAGAACATAGCATATGAGGAAATAATCAAGAAAACTCAAGGTTGCTAGAGATAAACTTAATTATATTTCTAGGTACACGTATCAAAGAATCAAAAAATAGGCAATTCAGAAAACATCATTTACAATACCACCCCCACCCCATCCCCAAATCAAGAATCCAGAAATAAAGCTGAAAAAAGATGCACAAGACCTTATGACACAAGAGAATTTATGAACAAGCTCCAGTAACTAAGTCTGATTGAGCAGAACGATGACATAGGACAAGGCAGTCTCCGTGGGGCAGGGTAACCCTGTAAATATGGAGACTGGAGAGAAATGATGCAGCACTACAAGTTTGAGAGGGTGGCCACATAAACTGTGCCACAATTGGTTATCCACATGAGAGAGGAAAAGAACCACTTAATATGAAATGGTTAAATGTGCACAGATTTAAAGGGGGCGGGGTTGCAGGGTTGCCAATACTAACTATTGCTAAAGATTGGGATGCAGGTAGAAGTGGTATACTCTCTCACTGCCAGCGAGTCAATTCTGACTCATAGCGACCCTGTAGGGCACAGAACTGCTTCAATGGGTTTCCAAGGCTTTACAGGAGCAGAAGAAAGTCCTGCAGTTCTCCCCAGGAGAGGCTGGTGGGTTCAAGCTGCCGACTTAGTGGCTATCAGCCCAGGCCGTAATCCACCACACCACCAGGCTCAAATTGGTACAAGAGCTTGGTAAACAGATCAATGTTAGCTACTGTATATACCCGAGTATAAGCCAACCCGAATACCAGCTGAAGCACCTAATTTTACCATAAAAACTGTATTAAAAATGTGCTGGAAAACTCGACTTATACACGAGTATATACAGTAATCAAATCACATGTACTTTAACTGTAGCCTCCCTCCTCCTTTCTTTAAGATGGGGCTGAAGTTAGTATTTATTCACAGGGTTGAGAATTCAATATTACATGTGAGGATGTTAATATAGAAGATGATAATGGCTATGATATGGTACTCGTCATCGAGTTGGTTTTGAATGCTAGCAAAAGGGGTTAGAACTGCCCTTGTGGGTTTCTGACACTAACTCTTTACGGAGTAAAAAGCCTTGTCTTCTCCCAAGGAAGGCTGGTGGTTTCAAACTGCTAACCTGGTGTCATAGCCTACTATACTACCAGGGCTCCGAAGGAATGCTACAGTACTGTGAAAATGAGTGAACTACAGATACTTGGATCAAGAAAAATGAGTTTTCAACACATGAGAGTGACTTTAAAAAAAAGAACAATTCCTAAAAAGAGTTTGGTGTGTTATTACTGATCTAAAACCCCAAATTTGAAAAATGTAAGCAATATATTGCTTAGACAGTGTCCATAAGTGTTAAAATGATAAAGAAAATCAGGGGAATAATAGACACACAATTCCCCTTTGGGGTGGAAATGATAATGCTTTAATTCGATGGTGGAAAGATAAGCATGTTTTATTATTCTTTACTAACACAAATGTTATCTATTTTTTATAAACATGCAATAGTTCATAATAAAAAATTGAAAATGTACAGAAGATGTGCAGAATGTTAGTTCATTACACACTAAAACCAGCTCTATAGAGGTACAAGCATTTGCTGTTTAGCATATTTTGTTTCTGAAAGATAGACAAGACACAGTAATTGACTGCGTGGTGTGGAGTGGGGGCTAGATGGCTGTCCAGGGGCCAGAGAAGGCTGGGAACACTTTTACAGTATCACCTTGTTTTCTAAACTCAAGAGATGCAACAGAATAATGTTACCTATTCAAAGACAAATAGAGGTGAAGGAAAAAAACAAAAGAATTTAAGAAAAACAACGAAAGTGTAAGTGGATGAAAACCAATGACGACTCACTGTACCCACCAACTCCACCCTGTTCAAACCAGTCTTTCTATGAACGTGTAGCTGTCTTGGTCACTTACCAGCTCTAACTTCATAATGTGCACACAGTCTCTGAGGATGTGTGTAGGCGCTCCTAACAGCTTGGTGAAGGCTATTAACGTATTGGCTTTAAATGGTGGTCCTGCAACCTACACAGAGAGAAAAAATACATCATCACTCTTCATTCTACTTAGGCTCTTCTGACACCTTAATGACATTAAACTTACGCAGCATTAGTTGCGTACCCTGGTTTCAAAGAATTTCTCCAAAACTTGAAGCTCATCCGGTTTCCACTGTCCTGCATTTTCAGGCGTCACTTTCAGCTGAAGCGTCTGGTTGGTTTTGGGGCTAAGGGCTACTCTGCATTTCAGTGCATCAGTCTTAAACATGATCACACCTGGCTCATTGGAATTTATCAGCTGTAGCTGGAAAACAGGAGGAACACGAAATGAACACATGACAGAGAAGAAATGAAAATGTTACTGAGGAAACGGGCTCAAAAGGAAAACAATAAAGCTGACGCCGCCTCAAAGCAGACAGACCACTTGGTACCTAGCATTAACCACTGCTCACATTCCCTCTTGAAAATGAGGCAATCCTGGGCCCACTAAGCTCCGAGGACGATAGCCCAGCTCGGATGGCCCAATGGACAGAGAGGACCATATAGCGGCCCCCACGGCGAGATGCGACATCCTGCACTGACCCATGGCCCTACACGGGACAGCAGCGGAGACACAGTGTGGGATGTGCGACTGAGCTGACCCCACCACACTGAGGCAAAACACTGGGGGCGTGCAATGGAGCGGTGGGAGAAACAGAGCAAGGAGGTCCTGAGGGAGTATAAAGGATGGACTTTGGGGCCAGGGCGTGGTGCCCTATCACACTCGTCCGGAAAACACTCCTAAAGGTCAACAAACAGACCTTGAACTACTAACAGGCTTTTTTTTTCTTCTTCTTTTTTTCTGCCTATTTGTTTTCCTTTTTTCTTTTTTTAAATTTTGTATGTCAGTGGCTTTTTGTTTGTTAGCTTGTCGGTATTGCTGCCGTCATCGCCATGTCCTTATGTGCCACTTTGGTGCTGTCAAAGCCATCTGCAATTTTATGCACATATTAATATATCTGTAGGTCCACCCAGATAAGAGAGGCTGGACAAACAATGTGAGAGGAAAATAATGGGACCAACGGTCCTGGAGGGACATGAGAAGTGTGGGAGATAGGGGAAGGGAGGAGGTGTTGGCCAACCCAGGGACAAGGGAACAACGAGTGGTTCAAAATCAGTGGCAGGGAGGGGATGGGAGGACTGGTAGGGAGTGACTAAGGGCAAAGTAACTGAGAGGAATTACTGAAACCAGAATGAAGGCTGAACATGGTAGTGGGACAGGAGGAAAGCATAAGGAAGTAGAGGAAAGGTGTAGGAGGCAAAGGGCATACATAAAAGCCTAAATACAGACATGTACATATGTAAATATATGTATGATTATGGGGGAAATAGACCTATGTGCATATATTTATAGGTTTACTAGTAGGGTAGCAGGTGGACATTGGGCCTCCTCGGGTGCATTCCCTTAATACAAGAGCACCTTGCTCAGCTAAACAGTCATTTCATGATACCCACCCTTCCCTACATGATCGCTTAAGACAGACGTGTGCATAAGCAAATGTGGTGAAGAAAGCTGATGGTGCCCGGCTATCAAAAGATATAGC